TTCAGAAGGAATCTGTGTCTTTTTTTCCAGTTTTAGAGAGGAAAAAAAAGAATTCTGGCATGCAATCTGGGAGAGGGTGTTGCTCCTTGACCTACTTTGACCTGGCTTAATTTAGGATTCTGCCAGGTTATTACATATGATGCTCTTTGGCAGCACTGAGTGAAAAAAGCAAGCTGATAGGAAAATAGCATTTGCACATGCATAGAATAAAACACACAAAAAATAGACTTTTTGTTTTTAAAAAAGGTTTCCTTTAGGATGACATATAATAACCTTCCTTTAATAGTCTGCCATAGATCTCAAGAACTGTATGACAAATCATTTCAGTTTCCTCAGCTTTATCTGTCTTCCCAGACATATTACTAAAGCAGAGTTGAATAGTGCAAAAATACACACCCGATTCTTTTTTTCTTTAACTCTGCTGCGGGTTCTATACAGGTACCCATTTTGTTCGTCTATCAGGAATGTCAGACAACATTTACTGATGCAAAAGTCCATCATAAACAACTCTTACATATGTCCACATAAGTGAGAACACTGGAAAAAATAAGTAATTTCAGGCAAAAAATAATAGTTATATACACATATGCAAGCATTTGCTTTGTAAGTGATCACATATTCATCAAATTAGGGACAGAAATGAAGAGCAGAAAATATAACTTGCCTGACCAAGGACACTGAAACTTTGCAGCTGAATTTCAAGCAGCCACAATGATTCTGTAATGTAAAATATATGTTTTATCTTGTTGAGGGATGAATATGAAGTGGGTGAGCGTAAGCACTTACACTGATAGAGAGAGGCAACTGGGTGTAACATATTTCAAATGCACCATCAGTCTGCAAGCAAAGTATTGTCCGTAGGACTGACTCTGGGGACTGCTGGGGGGAAAATCTATCACATCCAAACAAGGCTTCCTGCAGGTTGTTGGCCTGACAGCTATTTGCTCTATAGCACATTTCATGGTATGAATGGGTGAGAAGGAATGGTTAAAAAAGGAATGTCAGAAAAAAGCTGCAGAAGTCCCTTACAGTTTCTAGGGAAAATATCTTTAGCGTCAATTTTCAGAACGTCATTCTTTAAATGAAGAGGCTGTTCCATGTGCTGTGAAATAATATTTCAAACTTCTTGATGAGAAAGAAAAAACACGTTGCACTGAAACAGACCTAGCATTTTTTTTTAAAAAAAAATTCAAAGCAGCACTCTAGCATTTCTACTTTTCTAGCTCATTACATCCGCAGTGGCAAGTATGTCTCTAAGTTTATAATAGCCAATAAGAATGGGAGTTCCTGGTATGAATTTGTTCTTCATAAGCAATTTTTATTATAAAAATCATAAGGTGATAAAATCTCAGTCACTTCCCTACCGCTAACCATCGCCCATCCTTCTTCCTTAGAAGGAGGTAACAGATTGATTGCTATCAAGTCATATTCTTGTTGTCAGTTTATACTTAGAAACTGTGAAAATTGGACAGTAGAAAGAAAATTAAGTTTTGTAGATAGACTAGCATCAAGATTCAATATTTGGCATAGTA